TCCTTGAACTCAAGCCTTTATATTTACCTACCGAATCGGACACCTCCCCAGCTCTCACAGATGGGCTCTTCCTCTAGTCCCCCTCATTTTACCTCCACGCTGCCACTTGTTTCGGCCAAAAACTTTGGAGTCATTCTTGGCTCCCTTGTCTTTATTAAATTCCACATGCATTTTAGGAGCAAATCCTATTGGCGTTACCTGGAGAATTTTCCTCAATCTGACCATTCTTAGCAGCTTCCTTGATACTTCCTCGGTCAATGCCATCATCATCTCTACCCTGGAAAATGCCGCTGCCTGGTCTCTGCATTCACTCATGGTGGTTTTACGAGCTGCATGCCACCCAGCAGTCAGGGTGACCCTTTGAAACATAAGGGAGATCATGTTATCCACCTGCGCAGAGACCCTTCTTCTCTCATTTGCATGAAATCTGATCGCCTTAGGTGGCCCACCAGGCTCTCTATAGTTTGGCTGGCTTCCTCTCTACCTCACCTCTTTCTACTTTTCTTTTCCCTCACTGGCTCCAGCCATAGTGGCCTTCTTGCCGTGCCTCCGCTATGCCAATCCCTTCCTACCTGAGATCTCACACTTACTGCTTTCTCAGCATGGAACCTAGACACCTTCCTTCCCTTTACTCACCTCTCTAGGGAAGTATCCCCGACTCAGTTTCTTCTTTCCCAAAATGTGCTTTTATAAAATTACACCCTGATGTCCTTTATCCTCTTCCCGCCTTTTACCCCCCAAAGCATTTCAATGTCTTTCATTGTACTTACATCTACTTATTCACAGTGAATGTCTCTTCCATTAGAATGTAAGCTCCTTGGGGTTCACACTAGAGAACTAAGTTGGTGCCTAAGTTGGCGCCAACAGAAAGTAAATGCTTAATAAGTATTTTTTAATAAATCAAAGATGAATACTGAGGGTGGATATGGTAGGGTACCTAGATTCCTCAAAAAAGATTGATTATTTGTGGAAATAAAACTATTTTAGGGAAGAGATAAAGTCTTTCAAAAGAAACAGCCGATAATCTCAACTTCAGAAATTGCCAGTTTCTTTATGGATTTACATGTAAAATTTAGCAGTGACATTACAACCATTGGGCTGTCTGCAAGTCACGTGGAATGTGCTCCAATAGGACTTTTGATATCTCATCCTTTATAGAGGCAGCTATAAACACATTTACTGCCCAGCATCAAAAGCTTACATTATTTATCATTGCATTAAGGGCCTGGGATTTTCCAAGAATAAACAAATTGCTATTTCTACAGACCTGGTGTGTCCCCCCTACCCGCCATTGCAGATGATCTAAAATGGATTTAAATGTTACATTTCTCAACTGGTTTTTTGCAACTATTTTCTTCTTGACTTCCTCCAGTCCTTTTCTGTTCTGATCACGCCTATTCTCAGAACAACACTCTGCATTGTGCAACAAAAGTTTAATTTCATCCCCAACCATTTAATATGACATATTGAATTAAAGGAAAGGATGTTAGATTAAGATTAATGGAGAAGAGATTAAAATAAGAGAGAATATGTGCATTAAAAGAGTTCTCTTTTGGATCTCAAAGTCATTCACTAAGTTCCTACTTTAATTATTTTTTTGCCAACAAGTTTTCCAATTCTATTTAAGTTTTGAGTCTAGGCGGTCGTAGCAAGGCAGGGATCAGGCATCGTGGCATTTTGAGTGTAACAGGATGCACTTTAGTCGGGGCATGTTGATAAACCACTTGGGGATGGTAATGGGACCAAAGATAGACTCGGGAGATGAAAGGTGATCGAAAGATGTGGTTTCTTCCTCTTACTGAGGCCTGTATGGGGGAAATGCTGAAAATCTTTGGCCTTTCCAATGCTTCATTATGGAAGTAAAAAATGACAACCCATTGACCAGCATTACCTATTTCTTCTCAAATGGCACTTCACTGGGTAATTTTAGCTATGAATATTCACAAAGAATCTTCAGTATCATTGCCTGTAGACAGAAATGACTGAAAACAGGAATGAAGAGAAAACACATGGATAATATATAAACGAAAGCACTTGAAGACCGTGTGGTAACTTAAAAATACATCACACAGAATTCCAAATAAAAGACTGCAGAGTTCATCTGGCATTCCAGCCTCAGGGAACTTAGTGTGGAGCTGCTAGGGAACTCCCCGCCCAGGCCCATCCTTTCGTCCTTAGTAACCTCACTAGTGCTTGCCCAGGGCTCTGGGCCACCCACAAATAGGCACCACTGAGGTTAACAGGACAATATATGGAGGTCATCAGAACACAAACCCTGATCCCCAAAGGAGCAGTTCAACCACGCTGTCCTCAAAACTGTTATTTAACAAAACATTTTTGCACTCAGTTTCTCTGAGGCCAAGTGGGGAGTCTACGTTGTAAATTATTTCTGTACAAAATTTGTCGTTTCAAATGAGCATGTAAATGTTCTGATTGAGTTTTGACACAAACACAATCACTGTTTCTTATGCATTAGGAAGACTCTATCTTTCCAAAATATGTATAATTATATCTGGGAACCAACAAAGAAATGATGATTTGTAAGAATTATTTTTTGGGAAATTAAATCAATAAAATTATTTGATTATTGATTTAATTTGGAATTTGGGAAAAAAAGTTCAGGTCACTGGTTATTAGTTCTTGTGGTGCTACAGCTCATCATGTCTTCAACTATCTGAAAGGATATATACAAATCCTCCAAAATATCTCAAAGTTAATTCTAATTGCTTCAAAAACAACAATTAGCCCTATCTGGTTTGGCTTGGTGGATAGAGCGTCAGCCTGCGGACTGAAGGGTCCCAGGTTCGATTCCAGTCAAGGGCATGTAACTTGGTTATGGGCACATCCCCAGTAGGGGGTGTGCAGGAGGCAGCTGGTCAATGTTTCTCTCTCATCGATGTTTCTAACTCTCTATCTCTCTCCCTTCCTCTCTGTAAAAAATCAATAAAATATATTTAAAAACAAAAAAACAACAACAATTATTCACTCATCTACTGATGGGCACTTGGGCTGTTTTGAGAACTTAGCTATTGTAAGTAACGCTGCTATGAACATATATCACATGATCTCATTTGTATGTGGAAACTAATGAACAAAATAAACTGATGAAAAAATAGGTCCAGAGACATGGATACATGGAACACACTGACAGATCTCAGAGGGGAGGGGTATGGGGGACGGGAAGAGAGTAACCAAAGAACTTATATGCATAACTCATGGACACGGACAATAGTATGGTGAAGACCTGGGGTGGGGCAGGGACTTGGTGGAGGGGAGAAGGAGGGAAATAGGGGACATCTGTAATAATATCAATAATAAAGATAAACTTAAAAAACAAAACAAAAATAAAACAAAACAACAACCATTATAAAGCCCCCTGTTGGGTACTAGGGACTATCTAAGAGCTTTTCATGTTTTGGCTCCTATACAGGGTGGACAAAAGTAGGTTTACAGTTGTGAGTATGTGAAACACGGAGTTTATTTTGTTAATTATTTATTAATTATTGTATTAGAACAACTGTAAACCTACTTTGGCCCACCGGTGTATTTAAGCTTCTAACTATCCCTAGGAGGTAAGAACTATTCCTATTCTAATTTTACAAAAGGGGAAATTGAGACAGTTTCGGGAACTTGACCAACATCACACAGCTAAAGATAGAAGATCTGGGGTTTGAATCCCGTCAGTCAGATTTCAGAGCACATGTTTTTTTTGGTGTTTTTTTTTTAACATTAATTTATTTAGTGAGGTGTCTAAAATGTGCATGTTCCTGGGTCAGTGCGCAACACAGGAAGACAACAGGTTTATTGAGATATAATGCATATACCATACAATTCATCCATTTAAAGTGTACAGAGCTGTGCAACCATCACCATCACTTCTAGAACATTTTCACCACTTCACAAAGAGATCCCATAGCCATTGGTCGTCACCTCCCATTCCCTCTCCCCCAACTGACAAGCACTAGTCAGCTCTCGGTCTCTATGGATGTTTCTCTTCTGAACATTTCATATGAATAGAGTCATATACTATGTGGGCTCTTCTGTCTGGCTTCTTTCACTTAGTGTAATGTTTTCAGGGTTCCTCCATGTTGACGTATGTATTCATCCTTTTTTATTGCTGAATAATATTCAATTGTATGAATTTACCACATTAAAAAATCCATTCATTATTTGATGGACATGTTTCCACTTTTTAGTTATGGATAATGCTGCTATGAACATTTGTGTACACATTTTGGATGGACATATGCTTTTGTTTCTCATAGGTATATACAGAGGAGTGGAATTGCTGAGTCATATATACACATATATATATTAACTCCAGGTTAGCCTTTTGAGGAACTGCCAGGCTGGTTTTCCTCCTTGTTTATTAATATTAAGAAGTTCTCCTCAGCTGATGGTTTTTGCAAAAGTGACTTTTCTAACTCTATAAAGGCAGTTGACACTAGAAAACAAGCACAGTAGACTTTTCTTCATCATCAAAGATTCAACATGTGAGCTGTAAATAGCCACTTTCAATTAAGGAAACCAATGGAAAGCTTAGAGTAACCTTGAGTAACTGCCCCAGAGCTTTTATTTTTATTGATATAATTTTTTAAAATTTATCTTTATTGTTGAAAGTATTACAGATACCCGCTTTTCCTCACCCATTGACCCCCTCACCCCTGTCCCTCGGCCTACCACACTATTGTCTGTGTAGCGTATGAAACAAATTTAATAAATGATGGTAACAATAATAGCTAACATCTGTTGAACACTTCAGATATTCCAGGCAGTCTAGGAAGCATGTTAAATGTATTTTATCATCTAATTTCAGAACCACTAACATGTTTTAGAATCCTTACGTTCTAGATGTAAAAAAAAAATCATAAGAATGACAGGCAGCTATGTTTTATCTGTATTAATGACTAGGTAGAAAAAAAAAGAGTTTAGCTTGAAGTAACAAAAACAGAAACAAAAGATGAACTCCCTTAAATGAACAAGTGTTCAGAAGAGACTCACTCATTGAGGGCATTTTATTGTCAAGAAGCAGCAAATAGAGTGAATTACTGTTATTTATTCTGGCTCTGTATACTCACATACTATCTCAAGGTTTGAGTTTTTTCTTTTTTTTTTTTTTTACAGGTACATGGAATTTGTTGCCAAGTAAAATGTGATAGAAGCTAGTAAATATTAACTGAAAAGAGAAATGAAAAAATTGTTCTTATAAAACATTTTAATTGGCTTTTGTTGAAAGTTTTCCTGTTGCAAAATGCCTACCTCTTGACTCGTATGAAAATTCACTTGAATAGGTTTTCCTGCCATAACCTACTTCAAAGACCAGTGAGTACACATAAACGAATAGAAATGAGAAACAAAACGTACACAGTCTTTTGTTTGTGGTATGTTTAAAGTACAGAAGGATAAATTCATATTCATCATAGCAAACGTTAAGGCCACAAAAGCCACAACTTGTAAAGAATAATTATAATTTGTATGGTAATGGCCATTTCCTACAAAAAAACTATAACGTATGTCAGGGAGGCTCTTCTTGGAAATAAAATCCAAAGTTATCAATTTACTTCAGGATATTAGGTAAGAAAAGAAATAATGAGTGTCTAACTGAAAAGTACACTGGGTTGATTCTGATTTTGTGTGAAGTTGACCAATAGGAATTTCTCATTTGGATTAAAATTATGAATCCACAACTATGAAAAAAAATGTAGAAGCATAATTCTTTTCAGTGAACTCTAAGTTGCCCTTAGAACTGAAGGCCATGGGAAGAATCCCTACCCTAATTTCTGCTTTAGTCCTTCAACCCAGTTATCGGCTGCTTGCAGTCTTCTTCACTCCTTAGGAAAGACTAGACCTTTCTCTTTAGCAACCAATCCAGGAACTAGATTTCAGCACACTAACCACATCTTCCTTTTCTGTGTCATACTTGTATGCTTTTGGTCCTGAAAAGAAGTAAATGTAGCCTAAAAGAGACAAAGTTGAAATTGTGGTTACTGAAAATGACTTGCAAATGTGTAAATGGGAGGATGCGTAACTGTCATTTTTTTGAGGTGGCACCAAAGGGGAATTGGGAATGTGTCAGGTGGCAGTTAGCAAGCCCTCTGCACAATTCTCACTGAGCCCTAGGACCGGACACCTCTAACTTCTCAATCATCTCTCGTCTTCTCTCTTGCAGCCAGGTCCAGCCTCCTCCTTGGGGTCATCTGATGTGTCAAGTTCAATGATGCTTGGTGCTTCTGCTCAGGCTGTTCCCCTCCAGGAAGTCTCCTCCCCTTTCTTTCCCTAGTCAAACCTCTAGCTGAGGTCCCACCATGAAATCTCCAACTATGAATGCTGGTTCTGATCTGTTCTTTCTCAGATCACCTCTCGCTATTATTGTGAAGACTACCACATGATTCAACACCAAATTATAGATAGTCTTGTTTTCTAGCAATTTAATCTGTGTTGGGTAGAGGGGTTTCCCAAAGATATTCACCATTCTGTGAGAGCAGAGACCATATCTGGAACTGTCTTTACATTTCTGAAGTGCCCAGCTCTGTGCTATATTCTTAAAAAGAATGTGTTGACTGGTTCAAAAGATTCAATTAAACGTATTCAACCCAGTTCAGTTCAAGTCACCTTCCCAAACTATGTGTTGAATTTCAGGAGCTGAGGGATGGAGTGGGGAAAGACACTGGGAAAGTTGAGAGTATGTGCATTTTAAAGATAAACATGATAATTTTGACCAGGTAAACTTGATAATGTAGCTGACTAATGGACTGAAGCTGTACTTTTAAAACTTTCCTTTCTCAAAGAGAGAACCACAACAGCAGGCCTTTTACAGTTATTCTTCCTGGGGGGTTGATCTGGTTAGCTAAATTTATAAGGGGCTCGGGACCAAAGATAAGAATGAAGGACTCCCATTTGGAAACCCATTTTTTCTGTTACGTCAAAACCCAGATTTCTTGTTACAATTCCACAAAGAAAGTTTTTTTGGTGAAAATACTCACCATTTAATTCCACAGCAGCATCTATTTGTCCATTTACTCCTGAAAATTCCTCTTCAGTATTCTTTGGATAGTCTTTTTCCATTTTCCTTTTTCGTTCATCATAGCTGGAGGAAGTATTATTTCATAAAAGAGGTTTTTATTGATTGTAGTGACATTGTATAGTCAGGCATATTTAGCCAGGGCTGTCTTATGATTTACTTTAAATCAATCTCTCTCTCTCTCTCTCTCTCTCTCTCTCTCTCTCTCTCTCTCTCTCTCTTTCTCTCTTCCACTCCCCCCAGGTTCTTGAGATTCTGGGACCACTAGCTTTTTCTAAAGCAGCGGTTCTCAATCTATGGGTCGCGACCCCTTTGGCGGTCGAACGACCCTTTCACAGGGGTCGCCTAAGACCATCCTGCATATCAGATATTTACATTACGATTCATAACAGTAGCAACATTACAGTTATGAAGTAGCAACGAAAATAATTTTATGGTTGGGTCACAACATGAGGACCTGTATTTAAAGGGCCAGAAGGTTGAGAACCACTGCAGAGTTTCTTTAAAAAATTGTCACATCTATTGTTTAGAAGTAGTTATTCTACTAGTATATATTATAGCAAAATGTTCCCATAATTTAAAAAATGTTGCCTTTCGAAAGGAACTCTACATATATTTTCATGCTTTATTTACTGTTTTAATTATTCTCTCTCTCTCTCTCTCTCTCTCTCTCTCTCTCTCTCTCTCTCTCTCCCCTCCATCCCCACCCCATGTATGAATTTCTTGGCTCACCAAACAGGTGAAAGTCCTTCAGAGAGGCTCTTATTCATGGGCTTCTTATTATTCACCCATAGAGGTGGGACTGAACAAATAATGCACAATGAATGAGCAAATGTGTGAAAGATCAGTAGGTAAAGATAAGAAACAAGAAAACCGGGAATAACTGAGCTCCGCTTTTTAAATCAATTCAATTGAATTACATTGCTTTTGTTTTCTGGGAAGATTATATGACTGACCTAATAGCTTAGGTAACTTTTTCTGGATCAGCAACCACCATTCAGCGATAACTCTCAAGATCGGTCAATGCATCTCTTTGTGATCAAAATTACTCAGCTTGTAAAAAAGACTGTGACTTGCATGAATCACCATATGAATCATTGTATGAGTTCAGTATGTAAGCAGAGCAGACTCTCATCTCGTCAGGAAGACTTCATTAAAGTGTAAGGAAGTCCCTTCTTCATCAGCACAGAACTCCCAGGGATGACATTCCTGGGGTGGCCACCCAAGTCCTTTCCCACCAAAAGGTTAGACAATTTTTCCCGGTGTCTGAACCACTGGGCAGTTGCCTGTGGCAACAGATAATACCCACTTTCTCCTGAAATGTCCTTCTCCTGTGGCTAAGAAGACACAGGCCAGTGGCAGATCTCTTAGGATACTGAGTAGAAGTTAAACATTGGGAAAAGGGTCAAGCTGAAACCAGCCCTGTTGATATGGGGCTCTGAGGATGGGAGTGACAGCTAACTTTCCCAAACTCCCTTTCCAGGAGAGCCACGAGAACCTTCACTGCAGCACAAATGAAAATAGGAACCATTTACAGTATTTCATCATCTTCGGACAAGCCAGCTCAATGAGAGGGAAGGAATGACTGCAAGGTATCAGGTGTGAAGTTAGGGAAAAAATGGAGACAAAAAAGGAACAGTCCAGGCACATTGGCTCCCTCAGGGCCTAGATTTCTTTTGCTCACTTTGTTCCAGAATCTGAAATCTGGAGCTCTTCATTCAAAACGGAGCACAGATGTTCACATGGCAATCTCTGTTCACCAGGTTGTTTTCCTTCTCCCACTTCCCTGAGGCAGTCCTACTGAGGAAGTGGAAGCTTTGATGGGTAGGAATAAGGAAGATCATTTTAAAGCTGAAAATATTTGGGGGATGGAATGCAAAAGAATGCAAAGCTGCTACCAGGCATTTGGTATGTCTGTAGATATGGAGGGGATCACAGTGGGAGGGTAACAGATCACGTACCTATTTTGAATTCTTTGCCTAATGTTGACCTATGCTCAGGAAAAATGGTGGAATGACCTTCATATCTTTATCCTCTTTTGTCTGTTCTGATACAGGATTCGAAGCTGAACTGATATAATTACAGCTCCTTACATCTGTGTATGTTTGACAGACATTTATGAGTGATTTTGAGAACTTAATCCCCATTTATATTGCTTTATGGTAAATTCTGCCTCAGTTCCGAACAAGTGACTGACTAAAGAATATTTACAGGGAAACCTAATACAAGTTGGGATCTGCTTGTATGATATTAAAACTGGATGGAGAAGTCTGGAGAGTAAGAAAGGACAGAGCAAAGATCTTTCTTGAGAATAGAGATAAAGCTTAAATAATACAGAAATACATTTTCAAGAAAAAAGATGACTATTAATTCAACAGAAAACCTGAAAAAGAAAAATTTCTATTTTTATCTGTCTTAGTTCACTGAGGTGGGTAGTGGTAACATCTAAAATCTTATGTATGTATAGAGTGTCCCAAAATGTATACACACACTTTGAATAATTATAAAGGCAGTGTTTATTAAAATACACTTCATTTTCAAAGTTATCAGCTATTAAAGTGTGTATACATTTTTTGGGGACACCCTGTATATTCAGAAGATAACAAAGGTAATAATACTATATGTCAATAAAATTTCAGAAGAAAAGTTAGCAAAGCAATGTCCAGTTGCAAATTTTAATTCTCAGTCATATTTATAAAAACCTAGGCAAAGTCCTTGGCAAAATTGTGAAATTACTATTTCTTTCCTCCAGCTCTTCTACCAATGATATATTCCTTTCTGCCCTCTTGCCTCCTGTCCTATAACTACTTTCCAAAGAGTATTACTCTCAACAAACTCCATTTCAAAGTACCAGCCTGACACAAAAATCACCATTTTGCATGGATGGAATTGGAGAGCATTATGCTAAGTGAAATAAGCCAGTCAATGAAGGAAAAATACCACATGATCTCACTCATTCATGGATAATAAAGACCATTATAAACATATGAACAAAAATAGATGCAGAGGTAGAGCTGCCTCAAACAGACTGTCAAATTGCAGTGGGAAGGCCGGGGAGGGTAGGGGGGCAGAAGGGAGGGGGGGTAAGAGATCAACTGAAGGACTTATATGCATGCATATAAGCATAACCAATGGACATAAGACACTGGGGGGTAGGGGAGGCCAGGGGATTGTCAAAGGTGGGGGAAAAAGGAGACATATGTAATACCCTTTGTAATACTTTAAGCAATTAAAAAAAATAAAAATAAAAAAATCGCCATTTTGAGATTATCTGATAACATATTAATATTTCATTTGAATCTTTTATGTAGACATATGTAGACAGGGCCTATATAACTAATACAGGGTCACCTACTTTTCATTTTACCAAGTAAAAACATTACCATCCAACCATCAAAATTTACCACCTATTTTCATTCTCATTTCACACAGAAAAGAAACTTTAACACCAAAAAGTCAGAAAGGACATACTCTCAGAATAAAAGATGGTTCTTGCCAATAATGTGTCTTTATCCTGACATAGCCCCCACTCCCCAACATGCATAATATTGTGATGTTGTTCTTATTTTGTTATGGGCTTATAAAAATGTTATGATGAGCTAGCCCTTGATTTGTGGACAAACGTTTGAGGTTTTCTGTTACAGAGCAAAGGACACAACATGTACAGTCAGATGACTCTGTTGCAGGCTCTGTGATCAGGGGAAAGTGCTCAGAGCTGTGAGCTCTGGCTTCCTTATCTGGATCATAGTGGTCCTGAGGATGAGAGACAGGTTACACACACACACACACACACACACACACACACACACTATACAGTGTGTCCCCCCAAAAAGTGCATACACACTTTAATAGCTGATACCTTTGAAAATGAAATTTATTTTAATAAACACTACCTTTATAATTATTCAAAGTGTGTGTATACATTTTTGGGACACCTTATATATACCTAAGATTTTAGATGTTACCACTACCACAAAATATGTAGACACACAAGCCATAAGATGTGGTTTATTTTGGCACCAGGAACCATGAACTCTGGCTAGTATGAGGTTAAGTGAACTTGTGATCCAACCTGGGATTCTAAATCATCAGTAAGTTTAATCTTTACCTAATCTTTAAACACACCTTATCTGGATAATAGTTTGCAATGGCAGGCACGGCTGCAGAGAGGTGGAGAAAAGAGGGCTGAAGAATGTTGGAGGTAGTCCAGAGAATTTAGCAAGAAAGGGATTAAGATTAAGAAGATCTGGGTGGGGGTAACGGGGAGAGATCAACCAAAGGACCTGTATGCATGCATATAAGCCTAACCAATGGACACGGACAATGGGGGGTGAGGGCATGAATGGGGTGGGGGTGGGAGGGCAATAGGGCGACAAGGACACATATGTAATACCTTAATCAATAAATTAAAAAAAGATTAAGAAGATCTACTGGTATGTTGAAGATTTTACTGAAGGTCAAAGGAAATTATATAATGAGGTAAGAATCATGGGTATGGGTATTTTAATCGACAGTAAATAAATAAATGGTTAAATGAATGAAGAATGACTATATGTGGTGAATGGGGAAGACCTCTGAATTTGGATTCAGAAGACATGAAACATTGCCTCGGATAGACTGTATTTAGCTGTGTGACCTTGAGCTAATCACTTAATCTCTCTGATTCGATGTTTTTACCTGTTAAATGGAGATCGCAGTACCTGTGTCTCAAGATTGTTTAGAAAGCAGATGGGGACATAAGAGAAAATACTGAGCCTGGCTTATGTGTTAGGATTCTGTGTTAAATTCCCAACACATAATAAATTATCAATAAATATTAGATGAATTTAAATGTTAAAAAAGAACTGAATTTGTATTATGAATTTACTGTATACTAACTACCTGCTGAAATCAATTGCATATGCTTTCTCATCACTGAGGTCTTGTCTGTGAAACAAGAAATACCAACTAAATTACCTAAATGCCAAGTAAAATGAAGTGACCTAGAATTATTTCATCATTTAATATTGATTGATGTGTATAGATGTTAAAGAAATCATTTCTGAGATTTAAACTTCACTAGCAAT